ACCCTATCCCAGTGACACTCAACAGCTGGTCTGAGGACTGGGGCTGGTCTGTGATTTGTGTCTACCAGTAGAAGATGAGATAAGTAGTGCAACTGAAATAAAAAACTTAGAAACTTTCATAGCAATCCGACAGAGCGGTTTTATGTTTGTTTAATATAATCATAAAAAATTAGAACTTGTATTTTGTAAACCCTTTTTAATTTCATTTTCTTAGTAGTTTGCTTTTATTGTATTCTACAAAAGTAACGCTCCTCAAAAGATTGGAAATTTAAAAAAAAGAAAGACAGGTTCTTCAACACAAATAGATGAGAAGTCTAAGGGACAGAGTGAAGAAATAAAATGGAGTCACAATAGTCAAGCTGCTTGATTGCTAAAATCAGGTAGGCTGAGGCAGGAGGCAACCATTCTATTCTAGTTTTAACAACCTGGGAACTTAAAAACTTTTGAACTTTCCAGGCCTGCATCGATGCCTGGATACACATCAGACCTCCAGATAACCCTCTGGTTACCTCCTGAAGGACTCACATATCCAGACCACCTGGCACCCATCATCCAGACCAACTGATCTGGCTGATACCCGTCCTCGACCAGTCCTACAGCTAAGAGTGCAGGACTGACTATTCCCACGAAAGCATGTTTTATGGAACTCAACTTTTCTTTCTTCTTTGGAACACTTCTGGGGTTTTGCCTACTTGTCTTTACAGTTTGCAAACTCTAAGACTCTTGAATACATTTTTTTATCATTTATTTCTACCAAAGCCTCCAGGCCCTTTTTTGAGTTCATTCGACATACCAGGGTATATGGTGTCAGGTGTCATGGGATCCAAAGAAAACTTTGCTTCAATCCCGGTGCTGTTGTTGAATTGAAACGAGGCTTTGTCTTCTCTTCAACAGCTCCGGATTCCAGTGATGAGTTATCTTGGTTCTAAACTCCCTCCCTCAGTTAAGATTTAGAATATTTATTCTTGGATACTCTGATACCAGTTCTTGTGATGGGGTGCCCTCTTTCTAAGTCTGTTACAGAGGGACAACTTCATTCTAAAAGGTCAGCTAGAAATATGGTCTATCTTCTGCTAAATATTTGTCTCAATGGACTTCTGATAAGAAGAACAATTTAGAATTACAGTGACCACTGTGGGGATCTTTTGAGATTTCAAAATTACTATATTTAAGTGCACAATTAGAGATTTTAGAAATGCTGAGCAAGCTAAATTGGAGGCATTTTGCAATTGGTATTTAGAGGCCTCTAAGACACTAAATGATTCAAATATACATTTAATGTCTCTTGTTTTTTTTGTCTGACCACAGCTTTCAGGGGGATTTATCTTTAACATGAGACCCTGCAAAAGTTCCCAAAAAGTACCCTTCTTGGGAACTCTAGCTCTCTCTATATATACATATACATACACACACACACACACACACACACACACACACACACACATATATATACACATACACATTTTGGTCCTTTCTTTTGTGTCCTTTATTTTTTTATTTATTTTTTAAATGTGTTTTTACTGTTTTTAGAGAGAAAGGGAGAGGGATAGAGAGATAGAAACATCGATGAGATGAGAGAGAAACATCATGGATTGGCTGCCTCCTACAGGGGATCCAGTCCACAACCTGGATATGTGCCCTGACCAGGAATGGAACCAGTGACCTCTTGGTTCCTGGGTCAACGCTTGGTCACTGAGCCCCACCAGCTGGGCTGTGCACTTTATTTTTAGTTTTCAAATATATTTTTTTATTGATTTCAAAGAGGAAGGGAGAGGGGAAGAGAGATAGAAACATCAGTGATTAGAGAGAATCATTGATCGACTGCCTCTTGCACGTCCCCTACTGGGGATCAATCCCGCCACCTGGGTATGTGTCCTTGACCTGAATCAAACCCGGGACCCTCCAGTCCACAGGCCCACACTCTATTCATTGATAGAGCTGGGCTGTGCCTTTTATTTTTAATAACATGAACCAACTTAGCCAAAATAATTTAAAATTCTAATGGTCATTGATAAAGACTAGATGAAACCTTAAGAAAGCCCAATGTCTGAGAATTTATGGGAGGAGCTAGGGCTTCTGAAAGTCATCTAAGCAATTGTGAGAGTCTGCAAGAATTCTACAGGAAAAACTGTATGCTTATAATAAAGCTCTCTGGTTCTAATTTCCCCTTCTCTTAACTTCCTCTTCCCTTGAGTAAATACCTCTCCATCTTAGCAGGCCAGGCAGAGCATGCACGCGGCTTGCCATGCCTGAGGGCACAGGATTGCAACTCTCTTTTTCCTGAATAAATCCTTTTTGGTGATGAAACACCTACTAGATATTAATTTTCAATCAACACGGCTCAGGAAAAACTTTAAAGTCCACATTGAGGGCCCTCCCTTAAAGAGAGAATTCCAAACCTCTGGGACAATGCATGCATTCGTTGATTGATGTGCAGAAGCCTCTAAAAGGCAAATTGACTTTTTAAAAAATCCTCTAAAAGAAACGTTGGCCATCTGATCAGGTGCTTTAAATTTCTTACTGTTTCTCCTGCCTGAAACCTGACCAGATATTTCAAAAATGACCAAGTAGGCAATTAGACGGGCATAAGCAGAGCAGGAACAGTAGGCCAGGTACCCAATGTCACCAGGGTGGGAAGTCCCAAGTGCCTAGAAACAGGCAAAACTAGAAAAAACAAGTATTATAGGCTAGGACCTTACCCCAAGGTGACCTTTCCTCCCCTAGCATCGTTACTAGTCGTGCGTCTTTTCATATCACTAGTCATGCGGTTTAGGCCCCTGTAGAGGAGGAACAAGGGGGACAGAGAATAGCTCACAGGACTCCCATTCAAGCCCTTGCACAACCACTCCCTTAAGCATTAAGCCCTCAGGACAATAAGGTTTGGACACCCATTGAATAGTCTTGGGAACAGGCCTATAGGCCTTGGGTCTGTTGACCATGGAGACAGAGTTTTGGTTAAATTGGAAATAACATCGAGGCCTCAGTTGTGTTTCAGCTTCAGGCCCAGAAAAGCAGCCA